GTAAGTTAATTCCATAAATTACAGAACAGTATATTTGATACATATTCTAGACTATAAATGGATTAGAGGACTGGTGCATGAAATTTGTGCACTGGGGGTGGGAGCCCCTCAGGCCAACCTGTACCCTCTCCAATCTGGGACCCCTCGGGAGATGTCCCACTGCCTGTTTAGGCCCGATCCCACAAGGAGAGGTGTGCCCACAGCCCTTTCGTAACAGGCAGTCGGACATCCTTTCATAATTTGGGACTGCTGTCTCCCAACTGCTTGCCTGACCTGACTGCCTGATTGCCCCTAACAACTCCCCTGCCAGCCTGATTGACACCTTACTGTTCCCCGGCCGGCCCAATCATCCACAACTGCTCTCCCTTGTCAGCCTGGTCACCTCCAAATGCCCTCCCCTGTATATTCCCTCTTATTAGATAGGGTTTTTTCTTTAACATATTGGACAGTGTACCTGCCATGGTCTTGACAAACCAGTAAAAATGTAAACCCAAACTAAAAGTGTCATAAAATAAACTCTTTAAACAGGAATTTCAAGAGACCTTGGTAAGGTGATATCATGTGGTTGTTGGACTTATCCTTTTTTCCACAAACTTTTTGGCCCATTTTTCCCCTTCTGCTAGAAATTCTTCCAAAATGCCTTTCTCCTCTTAATAATCTCAATCCTCTCTACCTATGAAAGTTCTACTCAGCCTTTGAGGGTTGGCCAGGTCTCTGTGGCCCTCTCCCCATCCTTGCAGCCAGATCTGCTTGCTCCTTCCTCAGTGTTCCCACAGTGCTGTGGACACAGCTCCAGCACAGTCCACACACGCAACCAGTTGTCACTGTTTCCTGAGGATGTCCTGTCCTATTCTCTTCCCTTTATAAGGGAATCAAGCTGAAGTTTTGCAGGTTGGGAAGAAGCTGGCAGCAGCTGAAAGTGGAACATGCCTAGAGGGGCACAGATACCTCCCAGCCAACAGGCCATAAGGCCCGGGCCATGGCTGGGAGTGGATCGCATGGGAGAGCCACGCCCATAGCTCTGGCCACAGCTGGAAGCAGAACACGCTGAAAGGAGCGCGTCTCCCAATTGACAGGCCTATGGCCCTGGGAGTGGATCATGCCTGGGAGGCGCGGCTGCCTCCCAGTCCCACAGCCATAGTCACAGATGAAAGCTGAACACTCCAAGAGGGAAAAGGGTCCCAGCCAATAGGCCTAATGCCCAGGTCTTGGCTGGGAGCAGATAGAGCTGAGAGGGGCACAGAAGCTCCCAGGCGATAGGCCTCGCCCCTGACAGCGGCTGAAAGTGGAACATGCAGAGAGGGGCACTGCTGCCTCCTAGGCCCACAGTCCTGGCCGCGGGTTAAAGCACAACACTCCAAGAGGAGCACGGGCACCTCCCAGCTGATAGGCCTACAGCCCTGGCCACTGCTGGAAGCAGATCACGCCGGGGAAGCAAGGCTGCCTTCCAGGCCCACAGCCATGGCTGTGGCTGAAAGCAGAATGTGCCAAGAGAGGCACAGGTGCCTCCAAGCCAATAGGCCTTTGGCCTGGGCCACAGCTGGGAGCGGATCGCACTGGAGAGGTGAGGCTGCCTCCTAGGCCCACAGCCCTGGCCGTGGCTGGAAGCAAAATGCGCAGAGAGGAGCACGGGCGCCTCCCAGCTGACAGGCCTACAGCCTTGGCCATGGCTGGGAGGGGATCGAGTTGAGAGGGGTGCAGGTGCCTCCCAGCCGACAAGCCTACGACCTGGGTCACTGCTGGGAGTGGATCACGCTGGGGGGCAAGGCCGCCTCGCAGGCCCACAGGCAGGCTGGAAACGGATCTCTTGGAGTGGGGGGGCCGGCTGCCTCGAAAGACCATGGCCCGGGCTGGGGCTGGAAGCAGATTGTGGTAGGAGGGGTGGGGGAGTGCGGGAGCCTCCCAGGTGGATGGCCAGGGCCACGGCTGGAAGCAGATGGTGCCAGGGATGCATGCCGAGGCTAGCAGCAGATCACGCAGAGGGTGCAGCCACCTCCCAGGCCTACAGCCTTGGCCACGCTGCTGGTTCTCATGGTCAGCGCTCCCTGGGACTGCAGGTCTCCGGCGGGCCTGAGAGGACTGGGCATCACCATCTTGTGTCTATGGGCACCACCATTTTTGTCACGGAGTGATGGTTAATTTGCATATTACTCTATTATTAGAAAGGATTACTTGCTGTAACATAGAAACAGAAGAATGAGCACTAGAAGCCAACTTGAATTCACTAAGAAGTCAGTTTAAGCTAATACTTATTTCTCTTTTTTATCGTTACTAAGTTGATGGCTATGAGAAATATGGTAGACATAGTTAGCAAGGCATTTGATGAAATCTTTTATGAGATCATTAAGCACAAAATTGAGAAATAGGAACTATGCCAAAACCGGTTTGGCTCAGGGGATAGAGTGTCGAGAAATAGGAACTGGTTAATTTTTGTTAGGTTGACTAATAATTGCTTAAAAGACTATTCCCACAGCATGCAGATTACCATGCTACCGTGTGACGTTACGCGGAGTCCTGATGTCACTGCTGTGTGGAGGCGAAGCGGAGGTCGGAGTGAGCAGTGAGCGCAGGACAAAAGAGAGGAGGAGACTTTCGCAGATGCATGTAGAAGAGCGGGAGGATTAGAGTGGACGGGACGCAGTGAAGGTGGTGAGTGCTGGTCTGTCTCTGGTGACACTACCTACGCGGCCGCCCTCATGATGACTGAAAGTTCTCAATCAGTGGCAGACCCTGCTCCAGCCCAGATCCAGGCCCCAGCAAGCCCAGTGACAGTCCCCAGGCAGGCCTCAGGGGGTAAATGTCTGATAAAGGGGTAGGGGGGATGTCTGGTGAAGGTGTTCAGTGTCACAGGGGTGGGGGGAGGGGGATCACTTAAAATGACATAGGAGGATCAAAGGGGGAAATCAAAATGACACAGGAGGATCAAAAGGGGTTACTAAAATGGTAATCCGCCCTCTGATTCTCCTGTGCCATTTTGATTTCCCCCTCTGATCCCCCCTTTGTCATTTTAAGTGATCCCCCTCCCCCCACCTTGATACCCCAATTCCTTTTTTTTACCCCTAGAAATGAGTGCAAAAAGAAAAAGCTACTCCGTGGAGTACAAGAAAGGAATCGTGGAAGACTCTTGGGGCCAAAATCTTACTGCTTTCTGCAAAGAGAAGATGTTGAGTATCCTATTGGTCCGAAAATGGCGAGCAGAGTATGGTAACCTCATTGAACAAGTGGACAAGGGAAATGCTAAAAAGCGCAAGTGTGGATCAGGTCGGCAACCATTATTTTCCGAGCTGGAAGACCTGATCTGTGAATGGGCTGTTGACAGGAGAGCAAAGGCTTTGGTTGTGAATAGGGCTCAGATTCAAGAATTTGCCCTTGCAATGGCACCACAGTTTGACATAGCCCCCAAAGACTTCAAAGCATCACATCACTGGCTGGATAATTTGCTTCAGCAAAGTGAACTGTTTTTAAGAAGATCTACAACATTGTTTAGGTTGGAAGATATTCAAGTTATTAAGCGAGCACTTGCATTCAAGTCCTTTATTGATGATGCTGACTTCTCTAAATACTATCTTTCCAACATGATTGCTATGGGTGAAACTGCAGTGTTTATGGGCCAATCATCTCAAACAACAATTGAACAGCGGGGTGCCTCCTTAGTGTACATTCCCTCCACTGCTTACAAAAGTGCACGTGTTTCCTGTATTTTGGCAATTCGTCTGGATGGCACTAAAATCCCACTTTTAATCATTTCTAAGGGCAAGAAGGAAAAGATTGAATGTGTTTTGGGTGTTTTTATTCTTGAAACTGAAAAAGCCTGGGCCACACCAGCAGTTATAAGGAAGTGGGTCGATTTAATGCTGCTGCTTGTTATGCGAGGGAGCCAAAGAGGTCTGCTAGTCTGGGATGCAGCCAGCACTCACCACACTAAAGACATGAAGACATTTCTTCACAAAAGAAAAATAGATCAGATAATGATTCCCACAGGAATGATGGCCTATCTCCAGACTCTTGATATTGCAATAAACAAGCCATTCAAAGACAATTTGTGCATGGAAATTAATGACTACATTGAAAATAGAATGGAGAGAAATCAGCGTGGAAACTTTGTGAAACCTAAACTGCAAGAAGCTGTGACTTGGATGAAGAATTCATGGAAGAAAAATCACTGACAGTTGCATTGCAAATGCACTGCGAGCAGGCTACCTTGACAAGAAGTATTCATTTAAAGACAGTGCTATTGCTAAACATGAGAGATTTGGTCCACTGATTCTGAAAGAAATGGAGTCAGAAGAAATTCACCAGAAAATTCAGGAATTGGATTGTCATGATGATGTTCCAGAAGATGACGACATGATTGTCATTGAATAAATGAGTAAATTCTTGATACTGTAGGATTCACAGTTTGTCTGGTTTGTGTTGACAACTACCGTTCTACCGTACCATATACAGGTAATAAATTTCCTTTATTTTCATTTAACAATAAATGTGTACCGTATTCTTCTTCGTGGAAAAATAAGACATCCCCTGAAAATAAGACCTAGCGCAACTTTGGGAGCAAAAATTAATATAAGACAACTGTCTTATTTTCGGGGAAACAGGGTAAATGAAGGTTTCTAACAACAAATACCATGGTTGTCCTAGCCTTAGAAGTGTCACTATATATATCCGACAACTTAAATGAAGCCAAGCTGATGAAGTTTATGTGACAACATCTGGGAAGAATAGTAAATAGTTGAGGATATTGATTTTAATCATAAGTAGCTGGAATAACAAAATATTGCCTGGCCCAGATAAAATCAAACCAAGGGCCAGATCCAAATCTCATACTTAAATTAGAAAATGATTGCAAGGGAAAAAAACAATTTTCTTAACTATTTCTGAAATCAGCCTCAAGCTTGAATTGTAGGTACTATTATATTGTGACCTATCCAGTCAAAACACCAACAATACCAATAACAGGACTAGAAGTTTTTATCTATAACTGTGGCCTTAATTATTCTTACCCTCTTTTAAACGATCCCCTTCAGCCTTGGTTTTCTTTTGTCTTTCTGATCCAGCAAGGTCTACAAGATGCAGCTTGGAGCGAAAGCTGCTACTCCTGTGATAATGACAGGAAGACACAAGTGAGAAGAGTACACAAGCTTAAGGATAACTGAGTATCAAAGTTGACTTGCCAGCTCTTCTTTTCTTTTAAGTCAGTCAAAATGGCCCCAAAGGTTACTAGTGCTCAGAGTACTGATGTCAGATATTTGTCAAATCAATTAAAGAAGCAACCTAATATTCAACTTCAGTAGAACTAACATTAAAAATCTTGACTCTTTAAATTGTAACTTACTTGTCACTTTTCTTTCTTTGCTCTATGCAGATTGTAAAGATGGCATGAGATCGGGATGACTGGGAGTTCATAGCTGTGGAGGCCACAGTCCTACAGTTGTTGCCCTGTTCCAAACAGGAAACAGTATCTTGGGCAACTAAAACATTCTTCTCAGTGAGTCCCACAATCTAATTGAGAAGGAAAAAAAAATCCCTTATGATTATGATTCATACTTAAATAATTCATCAGAAATATAAGAATTGGTAGTTTAAAAATGTCTTGATGTTCCAGGACAATCTTAATAAATGGAATAGTCATGATTTTATCTAGCAACTCTAATCACTGTGATCCCTGCAAACCAAGGTCTTCAATCTCCACTAGGAGCTTCCAAAACAAAGATGCCAGTCAATACTAGAGCTAGGAAAGATCTCTAGATTTTAGAGTAGCAATGGATAAGATACCTTTCAGGGAGCTCCAAGTGAATGTAAGCTTTGGCCCGAAGGGCAGCAAGGGCAAACAACAATGATATTGATCTTTGCTACTTTCTCTTCTGTGTAACTCTAGCTCCTCCTTATACCTCTGATCTGTTTTTGTTTTTGTGTTGTTTTAAAAAATATATATTTTTTTTTGATTTCAGAGAGGAAGGGAAAAGGAGAGACACAGAAACATCAATGATGAGAGAGAATCACTGATTGACTGCATACTGTACACCCCCTACTGTGGATGGAACCCACAACTCAGGAATGTGCCCTGACTGGGAATCAAACCTGGGACCCTTCAGTCTGCAGGCCAATGCTCTATCCACTGAGCCAAACTGGTCAGGGCACCTCTGATCTGTTTTTAATCTATGCATGGAATAGTTTTCACTGGATTAGGAAGCCAGAAAAACAGGGGCTTAGGCTTGGTACTATATTTAGCTATGAGGGTTTATACAAGTTAAAATCTATTGGAGCCTCTGGAGATTGAACTAGAGTAAGTCCCTGATACCCCCAATATGCTATGATTTTATTACTCGATTAGAGGCCTGGTGAACGAATTCATGCATTGGTGGGGTCCAACCAGACTGCCCCCATGGGGGCCGATTGGGGCTGCGTTGGCGTAGGGGAGGGGCTGCAGGAGGTTGGTAAGCTAGCTCTGCCCCCAACGGGGGTGAGGAGGGTCAATTTGGGGTAGGGCTGGCCGTGGGGAGGGGCTGCAGAAGGTTGGGGTGGTGATCGGGGCCTGGATTGGCTGGTTGGCTGCCAGTGTGTATCATAGCAACTGGTTGTTCCATTGTTTGGCGCATACACACACACAACCACACACACACACACACACACACACACTAGAGGCCTGATGCACAAAATTTGTGCAAAAGTAGGCCTTCCTTCCCCCGGCTGCCTGCACCACCTTCCCTCTGGCACCTGGACCCAAGCTTTCCTTTGGCTGCCAGCAGGCACCTACGACCTGAGCTTCACTTGCAGCCCTGGCTTTGTCCAGAAGGACATCTGGTCTAATTAGCATATCACGCTTTTATTATTATAGATAGATAACTCCCAAATCTACATTGGTACCTTACTTTCTAGTCTTCTGTTTATAATTGTCTGCTACTTACTTTGAAATCAGTAAATTATAAATCAAACTCATCTTCCTCCCACCAATATTGATTCTATCCAATCCTTCTCCATTTCTATTAATATCTGTATTCTCAAAACCTCAGCTTTATCTTCAAGTCCTCTATATCTCATCTGTCACCAACTCCTAGTCATTCTTTTTTCCCTTAGTCCTTCTTTTGAACCCACTGTTTCCTTTTTCTTCATACTTGCCTAGTCCAGGCCCATATTACCTCATACCGGGAAAATAAGGCAGTTTTCTGAATTGGCTTTTTTCATCATAGTCTTTCTCCTTTTCAATCCATGTCTGTTTAGTCTTCCTAAAAACCTTGTTTCCTAAAACTTTATCAAACTACAAAGACTTGTGCTAGATAATGAGGATAATATCCAGGAGCTAACTTAGCTGGAGAGATAAACACATTAAGATAAAGAATTGATAAAAGTATCAACAGCAAACCTTCATTCAGAAGTATTAAATACCTTATACAGTATTCATAGGAATAGAAACTAAATTCTTTAACATGGACTCCTAATCTGGTCCTAACATATCTCCTATTACTTCCCAACTCATATCCCTGAATTCAGACTGACTGGTCTGGTCTTATTACCCTAGGAGTATATTTTCTACTTTCCTGCTTAACCTATTCTTTACTACAAGAATACCCTTATTCTTTTCTCTACTGACTTATGGTTCATTCATCTATCTGAAAAGTATTTACAAACTTGTCCTTATGTGCCCCAATTTGAGTCCAAAATCTACACATCTTTGTATTCCAAATTTCACCTCAAATAATGCTTGGCATTTAATTCCTATTTTATTATAACTATTAAACTCTGATGTGTGGCTGGTGTAACTAAGGGAGTGAATTTTAAATGTTAGTTAATTTTAGTTAATTTAGGTTTAAATAGCCATTTGGGGCTAGTGGCAACTGAACCAGACAGCCCAGACTTAGAACTCTATAAATAGTTAATAAATAAATATTTAATTAATATTAGTATTCTTTGAAGACGGAACAGAAAAGTGATAGTAGGAATTCTAGATTAACAAAGGAAATTAGGATCACACAAAATCTGAAAGATGTTGGTAGTCATTTAAAACCTAAATGTTAAAAAAAAGGGATGTTAATTTTAGTAGTAAGCAACGTTTTTAAATAACAACAATAACACAATAACAACAATAACAACAACAACACACATACCTTTATGCCTTCCTTAGGATCTTCTCGTATATTTATTTGAGAGGCTTTCTCACGAGATGAGCATAGAAGATCCAAGATTTCTTCATTGTAAATCTGTTATTGTTGAAAATAAAGTGGTAAAAAAAAAAATATTAACAGTGGTAAACTTGGGGTGGTGGGATCGTAGATGATTTTTAAATTCATTGTGACTTTCTGCATTAAAATATTTTTTACCACAAACATATTGTTTTTAATTAAGAAAAGGACTTTAAACATACATACAAACATCTGATACTTGTAAGAATGAATCCACACGTTACTATAATAAAATTGAGAATGCTCTCTTAAGACAGTCTCTTAGAAATAGCAGACATAACAAAAAGTAACATGAGTGCCCAAATTCAATTCTTTGATGGTGTCCTAACAGTGTCACCTTCACCCATTTTGTTATACTGTTAAGTTACGTACCCTTAGTGGAGGATGGAAGTGGGAAGCAAAAGGGAGAAGTGTCAACCGATATTTCAACAACCAGAACTTTTAAGTACATACAACAGTGTTTAAATAGTAAGTACTATATTTGTTTACTAGTATTAACAAATAACAATAATACTAATGTACTATTGGATGTATTAGCACATAGTAAGCACTATATTTGTTTGCTAGTATTGTTGTTCCTACTATTTAACATTCCTAAGTTATTTTTTCATTTGATTACTTTGACCACAACTGGGTTAATGAAAATTCAAGAAGGCTAATCTTAATGATTTTTAACTTCCCATCTTCCAACTCTAAACCTCCAATACCTATTAAAATTAAACTTCAGGATGAAGAATTCACATACAATTTATAATTGCATGCTTAAATTGTGTATGTTTAATTATTGCTCCTTGAAGATATGTTATCACTGCTACAGGACCAACCAGAAGCCGTAAGTTCCCTAAACAAGTGTTTTTGATATTTGGTGGTTAGATATAACCGGTCAATCTATACTAATATACACTAGAATGAAAACACCTACAAGGGCAAGGATTTTTATCTATTTCGGTCACTGATATAGCCCAAGTACCTAGAATAGGGACTATAACATAGTAGATACTGAATAAATATCTTTGAATAAACACACTCTATCATCACCTATACAACTCAATATGTCACCCAAATTGTGTAACATTCTTCATGAATTAGCAAAATTATCACTGAAGCCTCAAAACAGTAAAAGGAAATCAAATATTTTTCTGCAGACTATAGGGAATCCATACTACAGGCCAAATTGGAATTAAAAGAATTCCTATCATCTTTCTATATGGCAATGCCAAGTCTTCTAACAATCAGATTAAACAGACTATTCTGACAATGAGGAAAGAACTGGGTAGAAACTAGATCCAACGGAGACAGTAAGTTTTTTCTATCAATTTATAAAAATGTAATTTACTAAAAATGCAATTTATTAATTTGAGTCATGCCAGGAAAATCCTGATTAGGATTTATTTTTCTACCCAAAGATAAATTTAAACTCAGAATAATTAAAGATTATTAGATTTACCTCTAAGTATGAGACTTTCAGAGTAAATTCAAAGTCACTCTTCTTATCAATTTCTTTGAAGAGCAGTCGTATTACCCTAGGGATGACCCCAACTGTTGGTTCATTCTCTTGATCTGTAGTGTATGCACTTCCCATTGAATAGGTTTTTCCAGAGCCAGTTTGCCCATAGGCCAGGATGGTTGCATTATAACCTGGCAAAACAGAAGTCATGCATGATGATACTCAAATATTTTCATCCAATCAATATATTCCATTTCCTTCAGTGACTGCTTGCTACAAAATTAAGACTGCTCTCTTAAGACAAGGGACTCATTCATGAGTAGCAGACACGGAGAAAACCTATATGGGTGTCATGAATTTGCACTGCTCCAAATAAGCAAAGAAGAAAAAAACCAAACCCAAAGTGTGGGCCCCTCTTGATAGCCCTTAAAAGATAGGAAGTAAAACACTTAAAGATATGACTGAGATCATGAAGATGGCCAAGTCACTGTCGAAGAGCCAGAGTTTTATAATTTTACTTTTTATCTACTTCAAGCTATTATAAATTATGGGAACTAAAGTCTTAGAAGCTATATAAATAGAAGGAATTCAAACTTGTATTTATTTGATTAACAGCCATCACTTAAGGATATTTTTACCATTGCTTTTATTAGAGTGGGAGGGAGAGAGGAACCTGCAATCCAGGTACATGCCCTTGACCAGGAATCAAACCCAAAACCCTTTGGTGCAAGGCCTGGTACTCTAATTACTGAGCCAAACTAGCCAGGGCAAAGTTGCTTTTAACAGTCAATGAAAGCATCTACTCCTTATCTGAACTCTTAGTCTGTATCTGGACCATACTATCAGGCTCCTCATAGCAATGTCATCTTTTGAAGTATGATTCAATTGGATATGTGCCCTTTGCTTTTTTCTGAAAGAAGTTCTTTGTATAAATGAAGACCTTAATATACTGAAAAATCGTAAGATGTTAAATTGAGGAGACAAGATGGCAGAGGAATAGGCAGACATGCCCCAAGCCTTGTCCCGGAGCAGATAAAAAAAGCAACTAAATCAAATAACATCCACCACGAATTGGTGAAGTAGACACGGCTGGTGAGACAATTCATAGCCGGGAAGGGCAGAGGATGCCTGGAGAATGGTAAAATCAGGGATCTGGGCTGGAGAGAATTGCAAGACCTCTGAGCCCAGAAGGTCAAAAGGAAGCTGAACAGCACCAATGCCACATCCCTGGGGACAGTTGTAATATCTGACTGTGGAAAGGAAGTTCACAGGGCTGCTGGCAGCAGGGGATTCTAGATCTAAGCTCACAGCCACAAGAGGCTGAGCCTGGAGGGGCAGCCTGAACAACTGCTTAAGCTGCGCCATGCTGAGGGGAGATAAACTCGCAGTGGCGCAGCTCTTTCCCCTCTTTTTGGTCTTCACTTTTATTCACTAAACCCAGCTCATATGACCTTTCAAATACAAACACCGTGGCTGAGGTGTGAACTTGTGGAGCCTGGGGAGAGGCTCCGGAGAAGAGCAGGTCAGGGAGAGGTGGCCTGGAGTCTGGCAGAGACATACCTGACATGTGAGCCCTAAGCAGCCATTTCCTCCTGAAGAGATAGCCCCTCCCTGCAGTCTCCAGGCAACCAATACAGCCACACCCAAACTACAGCCTAAGCAGTACAAATGATACAAAAAATAATCTAAATAGTCCTTGAGAGCCTTCAGAGACTGGCATGAAGAGAGGCTGTTCAGTCCTGGAAAGCTATACAGGAACCTCCCCACCTATAGCCCTGTCAGAAACAGCCACTTGAGAGATTTAAGGTTAAAAGTGAGCAGATAAGCTAAGTGGAAAGATTGATCCCACCAGCTGGCGGTCAAGGCTGTGGATGAAGACACAGAGGGCAGTGAGCCACTTGGAACTTCAACAATCTAACAGGAAACTGAGAAGTGCTAGACAGTACAGAAGTGTGGGATCTTAAACCAGCCCCCATGGGGCATTAAATCTTGGCGGAAAAGAATGACACTTAAAATTTTTCATTTTTATTGTGTTTTACTATTATTTTGTTCTCTCTCTTTTTTTTCTATATTTCCTTTTTTTGTTTCTTTATTTTTATTTCTTCTTGCATTATTTTTTATTCATTCTATTTTTTTATTTTAACCTAATTTAAAATATTTTTTCCTTTCCTTTCTCTTTCTTCTTATCCACTCATCCTCTTTCTTCTTCCTCTATACTGAACTAAGGTCCTCCCCATATTCATTCAATTCCTTAATCTTACTTTCTGTTTTTTGTTTTAAATATATTTTATTGATTTTTTACAGAGAGGAAGGGAGAGAGATAGAGAGCTAGAAACATGGATGAGAGAGAAACATCGACCAGCTACCTCTTGCACACCCCCTCCTGGGGATGTTCCCGCAACCCTGGTACGTGCCCTTGACCGGAATCGAACCTGGGACCTTTCAGTCCACAGACTGACGCTTTGTCACTGAGCCAAACTGGTTTCGGCTAACCTTACTTTCTGTATAAAAGCTCAGCCTCTACAGATTCTGCCCCCACCCTCTTTTCCGGGTCTTTGGTGTTTGCATTTTTTGGTTCATCTGTTTGTTCTGTGGTGTTTTCTCCATATATATATATATATATGTAGATATGTACACACACACACACTGGCCATATTATTATGATCTCTGAATGCATAATAATCTGGCCACTCAGTGTATATCCTATATAATAAAAGGCTAATATGCAAATTGTCCTCTCTACCAGGAGTTTGACCAGAAGGCAGGCTGCCAACCACCCGTCCCCTCCCCTTGGCCAGGCTGGCCAGACCCCACCCATGCACGAATTCATGCACCAGGCCTCTAATATATATATGCGCCAGATTATTATGCATTCAGAGATCATAATAATCTGGCCACTCAGTTTATATATGTTTTTTCCCTCTTCCTTTTTCTCATTTTTCTTTTCTCTCTTACCATTTTTTCTCTCCTTGATATCATTTGTGTTCTCTTTTCTCTCCCCTAATTCTCTTTTCTCTGGTCACTTATATTGGGGTTATTGGTGTAGTTAGTACATTTGTTTTTTTTCCCTTTGTGTTGTGTCTTCTCTAGTTGCATTTTGTCCTGTTTGGTCCATGTGGTAGAGAGTGGGCCACATAACCAGACACCCGGAGAGGAGACTCCATCCAAAAATGGGTCAGTAACACTCCAGACCAAACTACAGAGACAGGAAGATGGCCGCAGTGAGGGAGAGCATGAGGGAGTGAGGGAGTGAAAGGGGAGTGTTTGGATGTGTTTTGTGTGTGTGTGTGTGTGTGTGTGTGTGTGTGTGTGTGTGTGTGTGTATGTGAGGGACAGTTTGATCCTGCAAGAACTATGGGGGCAGGCAAATTGAACTCACCTAGCAGGGCAGCCTCTGCTACTGTTGCAAACACTCTGCGGTGCGGGGGGAAGGAGGAGGAGGGCTCTACCACAGAGGCCACGCCATCTTGAAGGGGAGAGCTACTGTGACTGCGAGCCCAGCCTCAGCCTACCCAGGGTGCCCTCAGACACCATCTGGATCTATAAAGACACCCTTGGTAGGGAAATGCTGCCTTGGCTGTGGTCCCATGGTCACTGAGACTCCACCACCCCGGCCACAGGCTCCTGTGAGTTCCAAAGTGCACTCTGCTCTGGCCAGCCTATCACTTTAGCCCAGGGCACTGTGACCACGTGAGCAGCAGCTACACAAGCAGCCCACCCCCGTCCAAGGAGCAGCAGCCATGTGGACATCTTGCCCCCATCTAAGGAGCAGGAAGCACATAAGCAGTCCAGCGCCATATGAAAAGTAGCAGCCTCATGCAGCCTGCCCCCATCCAAGGAGCAGCAGCCCCACACAGCTCACCCCTGTCCGAAGAGCAGCAGCCCTGTGAGCAGCCTGCCCACCCCCATCCAAGGAGCAGCAGCCACACAAACAACTAGGCCCAATCTGAGGAGCAGCAGCCCAGCGAGCAACCTGCCCCCAATGAAAACACAACAATCCAAAATCTATCTATATAAGACACAGTGAAAGCAATCCTGAGAGGGAAGTTTAGGCTCTACAAGCCTCCCTCAAAAAACAAGAAAAATGGCAATAAATCCTCAAACTCAACAACTTAAATAAATAGAAAAAGAGCAACAAGAAAAGCCCAGGGTGAGAAGGAAGGAGATAATAAAGATCAGAGTGGAAATAAATGACACAGAGACCAAAAAACAAAAACAAACAAACAAAAAATGGAACCACTAGCTTGTTGTTTGAAAAGATTAACAAGATTGATGAACCTCTAGCTGGCTCTCCAATAAGCAAAGAGAGAGGACCTAAATAAACAAAATCAGAATGAAAGAGATGAAATAACAACAGACCCCACAGAAATACAAAGGATTGTTAAAAAATGCTATGAACAACTCCATTCCAACAAACTAGAGAACCTAGAGGAAATAGACATATGTCTAGAAAAATACAACATTCCAAAACTCAATCAGGAAGAATCTAAACATCTCAATAGGCCAATAACTATGAAGGAAATGGAATCAATCATCAAAATGTTTCCAGCAAACAAAAGCCCAGGGCCAGACAACTTCACAGGGTAGTTTTACCAAACATTCAAAGAAAAAGTAAAACCTGTTCTCCTCAGACTGTACCAAAAAAACTCAAGAGGATGGAACACTTCCAAGCTCATTCTATGAAGCCAGCATTACCCCTAATACCAAAACCAGATAAAAAACAACACAAAGGAAATGAATTACAGGCCAATTCCCTCATGAACATAGATGCCTCAACAAAATTCTAGCAAATTGGATCCAGCATTACATCAGAAAGATCATACACTATGACCAAACAGGATTTATCCCCGGGATGTAAGGATATTACAATATTGGCAAATCAATAAATGTGACGCATAACATAAACAAATTGAGAGTTAAAAACCACATAGTCATTATCAATTGATGCAGAAAAAGCATTTGACAAAATCCAACACCCTTTCTTGATAAAAACCCTCAGCAAAGTGGGAATAGAGGGATCATACCTCAATATAATAAAAGCCTTATACTACAAACCTACAGCCAACATCATACTCAATGGGCAAAAATTAATACCATTTCCCCTAAGAACAGGAACAAGGCAGGGATGCCCACTCTTACCACTCCTGTTCAATATAGTACTGGAAGTGCTAGCCATAGCAATTAGACAAGA